AGATTATGTCCAGAGAGCCACGTCCTGCTGGGAACTTACAGCAACAACAGGCACCAGCAGGAGTGGTGAAAAAGGAGGTGAGGGAAAGGGAAATCAGAGCCCACAGCTGACCTTGCAGCAATGCCAAACTGCAGGGCCCTGCTGTTAGGTCCCTGCCAGGAAAAAAGCATCTTCTTGGAAACATGGGAAGGTGCTAAACAGGGATGTAAACAGCATCCAGCTTGGGAATGATGCAGTTACGTGAGTCTGAGAGAGAAACCTCTCCAAGGACGTCACACGGGGAAGGATCCTGATGCCAGCTGAATGCCCTGATGGCAGACCCTGCCTCACAGCCAGGGCTGCAGACACCAAAAGCAGCTTAACCTGGTATAAACGGGGTTTGGCAGGGCTGGAGACACAGCACGGAGCAGCTGAGGAGCCCCTGAGCTGCGTGTGCACGGCTTCATTCCCAAACCCTGGCAGAGAGGGGGGCCAAGCCCTGATTCAGCTGCCTCCCACATGTCGCCCCTCGCAGCAAATCCTCCCTGGAGAGAATTGCTGTTTTCCTGAGTGGGTGCTCCGACACAGGGACCAGCCCCGCTGCGGGGCCAGCTCGGGGCTCTTTGAAGATGCTGAGAGAGCTCTAAATATGCAAATCTAGGCACACTGCTGTGGCTCTAATTTAATGGAGTTGTTGACCCTCTGCAGCTGTGTGGGAGCAGGAAGAGACAGGCTGGAATGCGGCATCCCTGATTGACTATTCCAGCCACGGGCCAACCTCTGTCTGCTGGGCTGTTTTAATGGCTGGGACTTGCTCCAAAATGTCATTTCTGAAGAGCAAAAAGCTGCTGGGTCATATTTCTGTTTCGATTCAATGAAAAAATTTAAAAGAGAGAGATAAGGGTGTAGCTCCAGGTAATTTTGCCCATAGCTGGAAGCTTAAGCAGGTCCAGAGCTGCCCTGGAAATGTCTCCAGCAGAGCAAAGCCAACTCTGCCTCCTGCTCCAGGCTTCTTTCAGGGTTGCATCTGGTTCCCAATGATAATTATGATGCCAACATCATGCTCCTGCCTGGGATAATCTCTCTTTTATTACATGTGTCCTGATGGAGACAAACATTGCTGGTTCTGCCTGTCCAGTTTCTTATGTAACAGCTCCCAGGGACAGAGGGCTGCATGAGCGAGAGATGCTTGGATTTTGGAATAGACTCCTTGGGCAAGAAACCTGAGATCTGACTCCCCATCCTAAAAGGAGTCAGCTGAGAAACGCCCCCCTGCTCAAGCCCAGGCCACGATCATGCCTGGCACAACCAGCAGCCTCCCCATCCATCCCCAAATAAAGCTCATCCACTCTGGGCAGGGCTGCCTTTGGCTTCCCACGGGCTCCTGATGCTGCTGGAGAGGTCAGGATCAGGCACAGGACTGTGCTCCCTTTCCTGGCTGAGTCCCCTGCTCTCCCTGCCCAGCCCACAGAGCAGAGCAATCAGCTAAATGCTTTATCCCTCTGTGACCAGTCACACCAGGGAAAAAAAAAACCAAAAAAACCCAAAAAAAACCCCACAAAAAAACCAACCATGAAACAAAAAAACCCTGAAGTGATCCCTTTGCTGGCCTGACACCTTAAAGCCTCTCACCTCTCCCTGTCTTTCATCAGAGTTCTAAACTCCTTAGGATGTCATCACGTGCTCCATAAATAACAAATCTATATAAGCAGGGGCTGTGGAGGATGCAGCAGACAGAGGAGGGGAGGCAAAAACCCAGATCCTCCTCTCCTGCCAGCGCTGAGACGGCATCCTGGAGGCAGGAGGGCAGGGCTCAGTGACCTGGTGGGTAAGTACCCCCATTCCTGTCACATCCCAGGGCACTGACAGCCTCGGGGACAGCTGCTGCTCCCCTGGCCACTGCGGTTTGCTCCTGTGTCCCATTTCCCCAGGAGGGTGGGAGGTTGGTGTACAGAGCTTGGCTTGCTGAGAAGTGGTTTTGGCACAGGGCAGGGTGTGACTCTCATCCCAGCTCCTGTCTCACCCCTACACTTCCAACACGTGCTTCTAAAATCCAGCTGCAGGGTCTCTTCTCCCTGAAACCCTCACTGTTCTCTGGGCTCTTTCACACGGAGTATTTGATTTTAAGTCTTGGTGAATAACTCTGTCCTGTCAACTAATTTTAAAAATCCAGCTCCAAACCCAGGCAGACAATTCATAACTTAGTAAAAGACATTGCCAGGGGGGTTCTGTGCACCTGCCTGTTTATTTACCTGTGAGCATCTCTCTGTGCCATGGGGATGCTCTGATTTCTGATGCACAAACACAAGTAATGGCAGGAAAAACGTACAGAGCAAGCTCTTGGTTCAGTGCTACGACACACAGACATAGTGGGCTCATCTCAGGCAGGTCTGGCAAGGAGTCACAGCACAAAACTCAGCCTGGGGTATGAGTGACTTGAACAAATACAGAAGGCTTTGTTGGAGCATCAGAGGACAGATGAGCCATGGAGAGGGAATTTTCCTCATTGCTGTTTCTCCCTTACTCTGGGAGCTGGGCAGAGTTTCCTTCACTGCTGCAGGTTTGATGATTCCCATGGTACCCCTGTGGCTGTGCAGGGCTCCTGGTTTCTCCAGGGTTAGGGAGCGCTGTTGGTTCCTCTGTGCTCTGCAGGTTCTATGTATCCCCCCTCCCCAGAAGATCTTATACTCTTCAGGGAGCTGAGAAGTAAAGCAAGAAGTTCATTTCCAGAAAACAAATATATCAACTCTCCAGCTGCATAACCTGGGTTGCCAGGAATAACGTGCTGGAGGGGAAAAAATACAAGGAAAACAAGCAAGGAGCAACCTTTCCCCTTCCCTGACTGCTGCTCCAGGGTGTTGCTGGTTGGGGTCTCAGGCAATTTCTAAGAATAGCTGAAAGGACCTGATTGCCCTTTCCCAGTTTTCTCTAATGGGATTGGAGCAGCCACTTAAATACGAGGTTTTGAACCTTCAGCTCTGTGGATGTCTCTGTAGAGCCTTCCTGTGGCTCAGTTGTTTCCAGCCTCCACATGCTCTGGGATAAAGGCTTGCTCTTGGGCAGTGAGCACTGAATGGTGCCTGCTGGAGAGATAACAGCCCTGAGGAACCTGGGCTGGTGGAAGGTGTCCCTTCTCCCTGCAGGGGGCTGAGCTGCATGACCTTCAACAGTCCTTTCCAACCCAAACCACCCTAGGATTCCACTGTCCAGCTCCCTAATTCCCATGGGAATGAAATGCTGGCCCTGCCATACCTGCACAGCCATCCCAGCCTGATCCAGCAGCATCCCCAGAACTCACCCCAGGCACTCAGCACCCCCAGGATCAAACCACCACTGCATTTTCAAGGTCCCCTGAGCTTACCCTCTTGCCTACTCTGGGATTTATTCATGCAGATGAATCCCTAATCCAATTAGTAGGACGAGGAGTTCCAGAAGATTTGATAATAAACTCTACAAACATTTGACCCACCCCCAACTCCCCCAGCCAGCTCACCCTGCTTTACTTTCCTCCTGCAGGAGCATGAACCATCCATTCCCAGCATGAGTTCTGTCGGTCCTTGGTGGCTGGAATGAGCACTGGGGATACTAAATAATTCCCCTGCCAAGGAAACCCTCTGTCCCTGATGGATCTGCTCCCTTAGATACACACCCACAGCCAAACCAGCGATTCATTGAAAATAAATCCTGACCACCCTGTCTCACCTCGGGCTGGATAAGACTGGCATTTCAAGCATCCAGCCCTTGGCATTTCAGGATGGAAAATTCCCAGCTTGCGCCAGTTGTGCCCAGTGCAACGTTTGTGCTGGTAATGCTTTTGTTTCCATAAATCCTATTAGCTGGAGGCAAGCCTATAATTAGCAGGGAAAGCCAGCACCTCTGAAACAATAATCAAAAATGACCCAGCTTTGCTCTGGCTTCACTGGAAATTGCTTGCATATTGCTCTGAGTTTGGATAGATGGTTGAATGGTTGGCTCTGATAGCCATTCCCACTATTTCTGTCTGCAGAATGCGTGTGCTTAGTGAAGTTATTAACTCAGTTTGTGGTTCTCTCTGGGTTTATTAACTCAGTTCACTCACACGTGAAAGCAGAGGCAGATTGAAGCTACAGGCTCTGATCCAGGTCAAGGGATTTGTCTGGGCTGTGCAGGATGAGCACTGCCAGATGCCCTTGGGTGCTGGTGACCCTCTTGGAGGAACCTGTGTTGAAGGTGGAGTGTCCTGGTCTGGGCTGTGTCTGGTGGGATCATGCTACCCAAAGCTGCTGGGGCAGGGGGCAAAGCCTGAGGCCACCTCACCAGGGAGGACAGCCAAGGCTTTCAGCCTCAGTCACCTGCTCAGCCCTGCCAGGGACCCACTCTGTGAGGTGGACATGAGCTGAGAAACCAACAGAGGTTGAGCTGTGACACTCACCTGCTCAGTGAGTCAGAGAAAGGGGTAAATCCTGTCAGCCTGTGCTCTGGAGGAGCTGAGAAACCAACAGAGGTTGAGCTGTGACACTCACCTGCTCAGTGAGTCAGAGAAAGGGGTAAATCCTGTCAGCCTGTGCTCTGGAGGAGGTGGCTCTGGCTGCCTGATGTGTGTCCCTGTCAGGACACCTCTGTGACAGCTGTGCTGTTCCAGAAACACCAGAGCATCACAGGGAACTTCCACACAGATGCTTATTTGACATCCCACCCTGCCTGTCCCCAGGGCAGCAGCTGGACTTGCTGCAGGGTTTTCCTGCCCATCCCACTGCCTGGTGGTGACATGTCAGTGTTGGGCAGGATGCTCAGCCCCACACCTGCTCCAGCTCTGGCAGCTCTGGCCCCTCTCCCTGCTCTGTCCCACCACCCGGGTCACTGTGCCTTTGTCCCCCTGCTCCCTGGGGTTAGCTCAGCTCACAGCCGGTGCCAGCCCCGTGTCCCTGGGCTCACAGCGAGGGCAGCTGGGGTCACTGGGGGCGGATATTTGCTGTGCATACAAACACAAATATCCCCAGGGAAAGGGGGGCAAGCAGCTCCATCCTGTCTGTGAACAACAGATACTTCCACTGGCTAACGGCGCTGGAGGAGCTCGGCTGGAATAAAGGCTGTGGGAGCCGAACCAAGGGAAGCCAGGCAGGAGAAGAAGAAGAAGAAGAAGGAGGAGGAGGAGGAGGAGGAGGAGGATGTCGGCACTCAGCGCCCCGCCCTTCCTGAAGCCGGTTCAGCTGCGCTCGCCCCGGGCCCAGCGCCGGCACACGCTGCCCGCCAGCGAGTTCCGCTGCCTCGGGCCCGGGGACGCCGCCAGCGTGTTCGAGATCGAGCGTGAGGGTAAGGGGGACCCTAACCCTAACCCTAACCCTGCCCAGTGCCCTCAGCTGGACCCCTTGGCATCTGCTTCCAGTCCCTTGTGCCCCTTCCTAACCCAATTGCCCTGTGGGTGCCCTCGTGGGAAGGATGCAGTGGCCGTGGCTTGTGGCCAGGCCACCACACGCTCCCTAAGGAGGTGGAGGAACTGTGGGTTAATGAGCTGGAAAAGCATGGCCCCAGCTCACCCTGGGAGGTGATGCTCAGTAGGACCAGCTGAGTGAGGACCAGCTCTCCCAAAACCCTGTGAAAGGATAGGAAAAGGGGAAGTGGGAGGAAGGACACCATGCTCTGCCTCCTACTGCACAGGGGCATTTTGAAGTGCCACCCTGGCAACGTTTCCCTGTTTCCTTCACCATAGCTTCCCTCACCCAGCCCATTTCTCCAGGAGAAATTGAGCCCTTTCTCAGGGAGATGCTGAGAGGGAGGGCTCAATTCAGTACCTGCTGCTGTAGCTCTGGAATCAGCAGAGTTAGAAGCTGGTCACACCATGGGGAACTGCCCCTGGAGAAGCAGAACTGCTCCCTGGAACCATCTGTGTCCCTCAGAACTCCTTTAGCCCTAGTAGGCAGCAGGACACACGCCATCTCTCCCCATCACACCCCACTGTCCCTCTCCTACACCAGTGCTGGGAGTGTTTCTGGGTCGGGCGTGCTTTGTCTCTCTCACTGAGTTCACCACTGCCCCCCTCCAGCCTTTATATCGGTTTCTGGGGACTGTCCCCTGCACCTGGACGAGATCCGCCACTTCCTGAACCTGTGCCCGGAGCTGTCCCTCGGCTGGTTTGAGGAAGGGCGGCTGGTGGCATTCATCATCGGCTCCCTCTGGGACCAGGAGAGGCTCAGCCAGGTATGACCCAGGCCTTCCACCACCAGGGAGGGCACCAGCAGCAATCCAGGACCCTTTGGGGCACCTCAGCCTCATGGGAGGAGGGGCAAATCCAGCCTCAGGTCATTCAGTGAAGGGTGGGATAAAGGCAGGGGTGACTCTGCCCTCAGGCAGGATCAGGAGGTTCCATGGATCCAAATGTTTGGCTTCTCCTTCTGCTAGAGACTGTCCAAACCCTGTCTCCTCCCAGGGAGGGGTTTGAGTGGCTGGTGCCCTGCCAGAGCCTGGGGACCAGGAAAAGCTCTCTGGGGCCCTGCTACTCCCAAAATCTCCCACGACTAACTGCTACAGGGCTGCTCTGGTAGAAACGAACTTTCCCATTAATGAATTTAAACTGTGCAGTTAAAAAATATACCAAGTAATTCCTCTCAACATTCATTTTAAAATTAAAAACCCTCCGAGGATGATGGATGGATGATGGTGGGGGAGGTGAACAGGGATGAGGAGGACGTGGACCCTGCTGCTTTGGGGTGGGAATAAGAAGCAGGAGGGGACTCCCTGGTGGTGCTGAGTGCTGTTTCCCCCTGGCAGGCAGCACTGACCCTGCACAAGCCGCAGGGCTCGGCCGTGCACATCCACGTGCTGGCCGTGCACCGCACCGTGCGCCAGCAGGGCAAGGGCTCCATCCTGATGTGGCGCTACCTGCAGCACCTGCGCTGCCTGCCCTGTGCCCGCCGTGCCCTGCTCATGTGCCAGCCTTTCCTCGTGCCCTTCTACCAGAAGTGCGGCTTCCAGGCGCTGGGGCCCTGCGGGGTGACCGTGGGCGACATGGCCTTTGTGGAGATGCAGCACGCGGTGCGGGGACACGCCTTCATGCGCAGGAACAGCGGCTGCTGAGTGCTGAGCCCCTGCCCGGGGGGATGAGGGGCTGCAGCCCCTCTCCATCCCACCGCTGCCAGCCCCTGGCTCCAGCTGCTCCCTCTGCCACAGCTGCTGCCCGGTCCCATCCCATCCCTGCAGGGCTGGGCACAGGAATTCCTGCCAGATCCTGCTGGGAGCATCAGCTCCCCCGGCTCTGCTTTAGCCTGGGCTGTGCTAAAGCAGAGCTCAAATCCCTGGGCTGTGCTAAAGCAGAGCTCAAATCCCTGGGCTCAGCTTTAGCCTGGGCTGTGCTAAAGCAGAGCTCAAATCCCTGGGCTCAGCTTTAGCCTGGGCTGTGCTAAAGCAGAGCTCAAATCCCTGGGCTGTGCTAAAGCAGAGCTCAACTCCCTGAGCTCAGCTTTAGCCTGGGTTGTGCTAAACCAGAGCTCAACTCCCTGGGCTCAGCTTTAGCCTGGGCTGTGCTAAAGCAGAGCTCAACTCCCTGGGCTCAGCTTTAGCCTGGGCTGTGCTAAAGCAGAGCTCAAATCCCTGGGCTGTGCTAAACAGAGCTCAACTCCCTGGGCTCAGCTTTAGCCTGGGCTGTGCTAAAGCAGAGCTCAGATCCCTGGGCTCAGCTTTAGCCTGGGCTGTGCTAAAGCAGAGCTCAACTCCCTGGGCTCAGCTTTAGCCTGGGCTGTGCTAAAGCAGAGCTCCAATCCCTGGGCTCAGCTTTAGCCTGGGCTGCGCTGGCAGGTCTGGGTGGGCTGCAGGGCCACCAGCCCCCTGGGATGGAATGGCTTTGCCCTGGGACAGCTGGGGGCTCTGCTGGTTTGGGGACACTTCACCCACCATGAGACATCCAGCAGAGCCCCTGCAGACATGTGCCACAGCCTGGCACCCCTCCACCATCAGCAGCAGCACGAGAGGAGCACAGCACGGCCCAGCCCTCCCTGAGCAGCCCCCAGACCCGGCAGGGGCCGTGGCAGACACCCCCTGCCCACAGACATCCTTCCAGCCCCTTGGAGCACACTCCCAGCCCACAGCCACCCTCAGCTGCACACTGAGGAGCCTCCCCAGGGAACCAGTCCAAACCACGGTCATCCCTGTCCCAGACCCACAACCAGACCAGGAAAAGCCTTCTGCAAACAACTCAGGTTGTTGGAAAGCAGCAAATAAAGATGTGGTGGTGATTTTCTACACAGCCCATGTGTGTTCCTGCCCTGATTTATCATGACCTCACCACAATGGCCAGAGGGAGGGCACCAGCTGGTTTGAGGGCAGCAATCCAGGACCCTTTGGGGCACCTCAGCCTCAGGAGAGGAGGGGCAAGTGGGATAAAGGCAGGGGTGACTCTGCCCTCAGGCAGGATCAGGAGGTTCCATGGATCCAAATGTTTGGCTTCTCCTGCTAGAGACCCTCCAAACCCTGTCTCCTCCCAGGGAGGGGTTTGAGTGGCCCATCAAGGCACCAGCCCAGCTCGACCTCCCTCCCTGCCACATCAGCCATCACCAGAACAACCAGAATCCCCCAAAAGTGCTGCATCCCCACGCCCAAGAAGGGAGAAGAGACCTTGTGCATCTCATTAAATACAGGTAGAAATTTATTAAGGATGGGGGGAAACCCACAGCTTTTTAAAAAAGTATCAAAAAGAGACAAGTGAGGTGAGGTGTGTGTCTTTGGCTGGAGCAGCAGCTGGAGGGACAGAGTGGGGCTGAAAACTGGCCCAGGGTGGAGGGAGGGATGCAGGGAGGGATGCAGATCTCCTGGGCTCACTCAGCAAGTGGCTGTGGAGAGGGAGCCAGGCTCTCAGCCCTTCCAAATCCATCCCAGGACACCCCAATGGGGCATTCCCACCTACCCCCACTTAAAAGCACTGAGGCCTCCAGCACCAAAGCAACACATCTCAGGGGAGAGACAGCCTGGCAGCAGCCTGGGTCCAAACCAGCCCAGAGGGGTCACCTGGACCCCAGGAAGGACCTGCCTTCGTGCCATGGCTGGGGGAAGGAGGAGGAGCTGCCGGGGAGAGCAGCCCAGGCTGGGGGCAGGTGGGGATGTGCAGCCTTGGGCAGGGAAGAGGGAAGGTGGCTGCCCCATCCTGCACTTCTCCACCTGACCAGCACCACTGGAGGAAGGAAGGGCTGCCTGGGTCTCCACGCTTTGAAAAAGGGAAAGGGGAAACAGCAGGGACTCAAGGCAGAAGGTGGGAGCGCCAACACCTTCCTGAGAGGTCTGTGGGCTCCAGAAGCAGCCACACGAGCCCCCCAGGGGGTTTTTCTCCATGTCTGCCTCCCACCATGGCACTACAAACACAGTCCTTGCCACTCCTCCCCTTCCCAAAGGAGAATTTCACTGAAATAAGGGAAGGAAAAGCCCCCTGTCCCAAATCCTGCCTCTCCACCCAGTGAGGAGCCAGGTGGGAAGTCACAAGCCTCCTTGGGGACCTCAGGGGGAACAGGACTGAAAAACATCTTTGAAGCTCAGCCTTGAACATCTTGGAGCCACGACAGAGACTTGAGGGAGCCCAAAATGGAGAAACCCTGGGCCTAAAGAGCTGTGGATAAAAAAAGTGCCCCTGCAAAAAGGGGGTTGTGTTCACAGTATGAGCTGCAGCGCTGCAGGGCACCGAGGTGGGACAGGGCCCCAGGCAGGCAGAGACACAGGCTGGAGACTTCAGCAACTTCACCCCAGGACTGGGAGTCCAGTCTGGCCATGGATACACCAAAATCCCGCTTCCTTCAGCCCCTTCCCCACACAGGCAGCAGCCAGAGTCAGTCCCCAAACCAGTTATGACTTCCCAGCATCAGGAGGGAGCCCCAAAGGGGTTCAGGGCAGGGCTGGCTCAGCCCTGCTTCCCCAGCGTTGAGCAAGGGGTACCCCAAACCCAGCATCCCTGAGGATGGAGCCATGCCCAGGATCTGCCAGCACCATCTCCCACAGGCTGGGGAGAACCCACCCCGTGGAAAACACGGCCAGTGCCAGCAGGGTCAGTGCAGGACCTGCTCCAGCTCGTACTTCTCGCAGAACTTGCTGGTGAAGGGCAGGCAGGTGAGGTACTCCACCCAGCGCCAGTTCACGGGGTACACGTAGAGCCACACCACCAGCGAGGCGAAGAGCCCCAGGAAGACCAGCAGGGACACGATGATCATGGCCCGCTTGCGGTACTTGTCCACCGTGCCGAAGGTGATGTAGGGCAGGAAGGCGAAGGACAGCAGGAGCCCGCTGAGGAAGCCGAAGAGGTGAGCGATGTTGTCGATCCAGGGCAAGAGGCCACAGATGAAGAGGAAGAGGACGATGCCAAAGAGGTTGAGGAAGGCTTTCCAGGGTTTCTCCAGCACTTGCCAGCTTTGGAAGAGCTCCACGAAGAGGCAGGCCAGCAAGCCGAACTGGGAGCCGGCAGGGCCCACCTGCAGGGATGGGGGAAGTCGGGGCTGGACTCTGTGTCACCCCAGACACACCCCGTGTCCCCCAGGGATCATCTCCTCCCCTGGCAAAGCGCATTTGGCTCCTGCATCGCTGTGCAGGATCCTGCATGGGGTCAGGGGTGGGAGCCCCGGCACAGGAGGATGAGGAGGGGAGCAGGGTAGAGCTCCCCTCTGGTACTTTCTGTGACAACATCGGCCCCTCACAAACCACAGCCCCATCCTGGCGCACCTGTGGGGGGATTAGGGCCCTTGGCATGATCTCATTTAAAGCCTGACAGGGTTTGGCTGGCAGCAGATTAGCCATCTGCCTGCCCAGGGACCCCGCACGCTCACGGACACGGGGGACATGTGACACACACGGCACATGGGGCAGGGACACCCCTTCCCCCTCTCCCTGCAGCAAACCCTGCCACGGGGTGGGAATCTGTGCTTCAGCCCCTTCCCCAAACCTCTGCCCAGGATGGGGATGGAGAGAGGCATCCTTTGCTCCCTGGGAGCTGACAGGATTTGGGACAGACCCCCAAACGCTCACCTCTGCTCTGTAGGGCAGGAAGATGGCGCTGGCCAGGTTGCCCGTGATGCCGCTGAGGATGAAGATGATGGAGATGCGATGCCAGCCTGCCAGCTTCTCCAGGTCCCGCAGCACCGTCATCTGGAACGTCACCGACACCAGGCAGTGGATGATGCTGGGGGAGAGGCCCTGGGTTAGAAACCCCTGCCCAGCCCTCCCACCCAGTGCCCCGGGGCACAGAACAGCTCACAAAACACCCCCACTGAAGGCACCTGTCACCACAGTCCGGGAGTGCCCTTCCCTCTTTCTCCCAGCCCATCCTGGTGGGCACTCCAGTGCCCAGTTCCCCCATCCCTGGGGGTATGGAGGCTGTGGCTCACCCGGCATGCAGGAACAGGGACAGCCACAGACGGTAGAACTGGTCAGGGACCTCCGGGTTCAGGAAGGGCAGGAGCCCACAGACCTCATCCAGGCAGTGCACCTGCAAAGGCAGCAGGGTTGTCCCCAGAGCCACAGGGAGCTGAGGATGGGTCACAGGGATGGGTTACCAACGATGCCATGTGGCAGCTGTGAGGGGATTCTGGATAGTCTGAGGCACCCACATTGCCATGGTGCTGGTAAAGGTGCTTCCTGCCCCACACCAGCAAGACGGGCACAGCAGCAGGAGCCTGGGCAAGGCGCTTTGCATCGCTCCTGCTCACACCCATCCCAACCAGGACACTCTAAAGCCCTTTGGCAACAGCACGGCTGCTAGCATGGTATCCCACATGCCCTGCCATGCCTCCTGGCCCTGCTCACCTGCGAGCAGAGCGTTGCCTCCTCGTGGAAGTAGCCGTGCATGAAGTCGCAGTACTCCCGCGTGGTGATCTCGCAGCTGGCGGGGGGCAGGAGGGGGCTCGCTGGGGGCAGGGCACACTCAGGACACCCCTGAGCATCCCCCTCTGCTCCCAGCCTGCTGCCACTGTGCTTCCCACCCCACAAGGCTCTGCAAGCTCCCTCTCCCCCCAGGCACAGCTCTGGACACTTTGCCCACCTGCCCTTGGTGCCGATGCAGCAGGGCCTGCCCTTGATCTCGCAGTCCAGGTGGGCGAAGCCCGTGTGGTTGGTTTTGGTCTCGTAGGTGCAGATCTAGGAGCAGGAGGGGAAGGAGCCCTGGTCAGAGTCTGGCCCCAGGCTGTCCCTGCAGACCCCTGCCGGGCTCACTGCCACCATGGGGCCACCAGCTGATGGTGGCAGTGGGGCTCTTACCGGCCACTTGGTGATGTCGTCCGGCCACACATGGGGTGGGTTGGATGCAGGCTCCTCACAAGTCCTAGCAGGAGGAGCGGGGTGAGTTGGGTGGGTCCCCCAAACACATCAGTAACCCCCTCAGCTCTGGGACCTGCCTCGATCCTGCCCACCAGTGGGTGCCCCTCAACACCCCACAGCAGCTCCTCTGCAGGTGAACTCCACAGAACTCCGAGCTGTTGGACAACCCCACCCATGCCCACAGATGTTCCCACCCCAGCAGGACAGGGGCAAGCACAACACAACCTGCTGTGTTAAGGACAGGCCTCACCTCATTTTCCCCACTGATTCCCTCTTCTTTATCACTCCCCTCCAGCGTGCAAAAACCTCCCACCCCCTCGGATAAGAGGATTCAAGGCATCCAAGCTGGAAAGGCAGCATGTGCCACACACAGCCAGGCCACCTCCACCCCGCTGCTACGTCTACCTGGGGTCCTGGTGGCACACAGCCCCCGAGGTCCGCCTCTCCCCCGAGCCCATGGCTGGCGCGTTGCTGCCCGGCCACTTGATGAACGTCGCCAGCGTCTCCTGCAGGGAGCACGGAGAGACTGAGGATGCAGCAGGGAATGCACGGCTCTGACCCTACCTGCATCCAGCCCCGCTGCAGTGCAGGGCTGAGATGGTTTCCCCTGCTTTCCCCAGCCCTTCCCACGGCAGGGGCACGCACGGAGCAGTCCTGTGGCAGGGTCTGGATGCAGCCTGAGTTGTCGTTCTGGACGCAGCAGCCGGAGCCCCGCTCCCGGTCCCGCTCGCGCTGGATGAGCCGCTCCACCTGCCGGTCCTTGCGGATGCAGGGGGAGAACTTGGCTCCCAGGTGGATCAGGTCGATCTGGCAGGGAGATGGCAGTAAAGGGGATCCTTTGTCTGTGCACCTCCCTTCGCTCCAGCCATCCCCAGGGAGAGTTTAGCAGGGGCAGGGGGTCTCCACAGGCAACAGACAAAGGTCTCTGCCACCCCAGTGGAGGGAAGGCAGAACCATCCC